TTGCATTTATAATCGTAGTTTCTTTTGATACATTCCTTACACATTATATTTGTGATTTTTTATATGATTCATACACATTTATACAATGCAAATTAGGTCGATTGATATTGGGGCAATGATATTTTATTTGAATCTAGAGGTAATCAAGTACCTCAAAAAGGTCGCCAATTTAAACATAGTTAAAGGGCACATCTAAATAACAACCATATCATATAAATAAGAGTAGCATTACATGCATATAGACAGCACACTTCGGTTTACTGTGTGGGTAACCTAGATAGGTAAGACCGATGTACACTGATTGCATGAAGCATTCACTAACCATATAGCTAACAGTAGACGATGAGATCGTAAAGGCTTGAACATTCATGGATATCCTTCTAGAACTTTAAGAAGGGATGGATACATGCATATTACAAATAAGGGTATCAGTTTCTCTAAATATGGCTTGGAATTAAATTGCATTATTCTGTCTTCGTTATTAAATATGATGATCACCCCTTGCACAAGTTCAAGAATTAATTATATCCTGTATGCGAGCATAGGCGTCCATTTGTACTTGCCGACATTCCGGGCTGCAGAAAGCGCTCTCTCCCCTGTTACAACATCTTATAATTAAAAAAGAGAGGCATAAAAGGATGTGAAGTTTTCAATCCACCTCATCATTGTACAATAGTATATTACAATTGTTCAACAATAATTTAATTCTTTTTCTAAAAAAAGAATTCGCACGTGCATGTCAAACAAATAAAAATCTTCCCTATCTATAAAAACAAAATACACTAGTACCAACCACGGATGAAAAGTTATATAAATTGATTTCACCTAAATAAGTAAAAGTGATCATAATTAGTAGCATGTGTACAAGTTAATTATGTATGGAGATTAGAAAATTAATTAACTAAACCGTGCATGTATACAAAGCTATTATCATTTATCAAAGAAAAAGAAGGTTTATCAATTGTCATCAACAAATTAATTAATCAGCTAGGTTAGGTACCTGAAGATGTAGACGTTCATCTGTGGACTAAGTGTGCGGTTGCAGGTAGCGCAAAACCTCATAAAATTTTGAGGACGCAGCGTAGGGGGCTGTGAACTGATGGGAACGCCAACATTATCATCAACACCTCGTCGTGTTTGATATTCATCTGCCACGCCCACGCCCCGGTTTCTGCTGCTTGGCTGGCCTCTCCTCGTCCTCACCTGCTCACTACTCATGTACTCCGGCTGCTGCTGGCCGCCGACGGGCACCAGCGGCGGCGGCGGAGCGGCGTCGTCGTCGGTGTTCCTCTGACAAGACAAGCTGTCGCCCATATCTCGGCCGGCTGACACTGTAGCTATAGCTGAAGGAGAAATGTATGTACTAGCTAGCTAGGAATAATGGAGCTAATGATCGAGCCAATCAGCGCGCGTTTGAATATATAATGATACAGAGTGATGCACATGCATGCAATCAAGGAATTAACTTAGGAAATATAGCATGTATCCATGCATGTATGCGTAAACGAGGGATTTGATATATGTCGCTCCAAATAATTAAAAGGCTTTCTTAATTTACACCAGTGAGATTAGGATCCCGTATATATTGTAGTAATCCGGAAATTAAGAGCGAATTTCTCGTGTTTCATGTACGTAAATTAACAAGGGGCACACGCATGTAGTAGGAAATTAACACTCTCTACGGGGCCGGCCGGGGATGCGAGATCTCGCCGCCGCTAGCTAGCTAGGAAATTAATCAATCCTTTTGCTTAATTACCTGCATGGTTGGATACGTGACATAGCACTTTACACTACACACAGAGATCTTCATCTGCAAGCATGCATGCTAATATACATGTATATGGAAGTGGATTTTTTTCCTCTCGAGGGGATATCCCCTTAAATTTAAGTTACATGTAAAAATAAGGGGATATCTTTTTCAAGGGAGATAATTTGAGTTTTCTAATATATAGTAGTCCATGCAGTACATATTAATTAACTTACCGAGATTATTTATATGGTAGGAAATAAATAATCGTCCCCACTGGCATGTGGCCCTGATATTAGGCACAAAGTAGGAGGTGTATCACGAGAGAAATAGGGGCGATGATTAATTCAGTGTTCAAGTGGGGGCCGTACGTGGCGATTAATTTGATCCGACCAAAATAAAAAAAAAGTTAATAGAGATTAAGGCCCTGTTTCTTTCAGCTTGGGATTATTATAATCCAGATTATTGGGAGTAAGCTGGAAGAAACAGACAACTTATTGAATTAAGTTATTATAATCTGGAGCCCAGCTTATTATAATCTGATAAGCTCATTTAGGTGAGGTTTTTCCAGATTATTGAGTGAAAAATTATCCACCATGCCACCCCACTCTCTTTTTAGACTTGCAAACCCAATAATCTAGGCTCTAATAATCTAGGAAAGAAACAACTAACCGTTTATTCTACTGCAGATTATAACAATCTAGCTTATAGTAATCTGACTCAATAATCTAGATTATAATAATCCAAGCTGAAAGAAACATGGTCTAATACTACTCCGTAATTGATATGTGCTACCAATGTTATCTTGCCCGGCCCTTGTGCGGCCCAACATAATTATGAACGTGTGTTCTAATATGTTTCTGATTCGGAAGTCGGAACGCGTACTCACGAGATAAAATAGAGAGAGAAGCCTTAGCCGCCGGTGATCCCTAGCTAGAACCACCCCTCTGCATCGATCCCCAAATCAAATTGAGATTGAGATCGAGGCGTCGAGCGAGCGATATGGCTGGCGAATTTAGTGATCTGATGATACAGGAGGGGGCGAGGCTAGGGCTGAAGAGGTGCTCCAACGCGGAGGGCGGCGGCCAAGAAGATGAAGGTGAAGGTGAAGGAGAGGCTGACGAGGGAAGAGGTGGAGCGGCTGCTGTCGTTCGTGCCGAGGCCGTTTCCTCCTCGCGACAGACCACGGTGCGACGATCCCGACGTCAACGAGATGGAGGATCTCCTCGCCCACACCGTGCTGCTCCTCAACTCCAACAACCAAGTCATCCTCCGGGCGCAGGCCAGGGCCCGCGAGGAGCTCCGGACCAAGGGCTACGTCGAGCGCTGGGTCACCAAATCCGTCGCCGACATGCCGGCCTCAACAGCCTAGCTAGCTAGGCCCTCCATACCTAGCTACCTCAATTCAAGTATCACCATCGATCTCTCCTAACTGTATTAGTAATATAATGTAGATGAGCATGACATTACGATGATTTGCTTCTTCGGTGGTGTGGAAGCATATTTTATTACTGATTAGTAGCATCTGTATATATCTGTAAACAGATTTTATTACGACGACGACGACCAAAAATACGTACTAGGTTTAATTTGCGGATTATATTTACGTCATCCGATTGACTCCCGCACGACGCCCTCCTCCGATCCGTGCATCGGCGTCGTCTAGCCAACTCGTCCGATCCGATTAAGAGACCGAACGCCGATCGATCCGGCCAATTGGACTCGAATCCTACTTGTTTTGCCTCCCCCAGGTATAGTGATGCATATATAAATGCAGACCAGCATCGCTAGCTCAGCTCGTGTCCACCAATTCACAAAATCGATTCCAATACCCAACAAGGCGACGCCGTCGGAGGAGGAGGAATTAAAGGGAAGAGAAGAAGATCGATGTGTGGCGATGACAAATGAGCTGAAGAGGTGCTCCAAGGAGGCGACGCCATCGGAGGAGAAGGCCGCCAAGAAGATGAAGAAGGAGGAGGCTGTGAAGAAGAAGAGGATGCCGATGGAACGGGTGCACCACCTGCTGTCGATGGTGCCGAGGGCGCCGGTTCCTCTTCCGGTGATCCGCGATGATTCCCCGGAGCTGAAGGAGATCGACCAACGTCGTGCAGGCTCTCAACACCAGCTCTCAACTCATCCGCCGGATGCAGGCCAACGCCCGTGAGCAGCTGCGGACCAAGGGCTACGTTGACTCCGACGACCTCTAGTTGAAACTGATCGATGTCTGTATGATGCTGCAAACTGTCATTAATTAATTATTAGCGATCTGAACCATCGAGTGTCATTAGCTATTGACGATCTCCTCAACCATCGATGTATCTGTATTATTATACTGAACCATCGAGTGTCATTAGCTATTATCAAAGTTTTCGTGCTCAACTTTGATCGTCCGTCTTATTTATAATTTTTTTAAATTAGTATTTTTCTTGTTATGAGATGATAAAATATGAATAGTAATTTACTTATGACTTATGTTTTTATTTTTTTAAAAAAAAATTAAATAAGACAGACGATCAAAGTTGGACGCGGAAAACTATGACTGTACTTAAAATGATGGGACGGAGGGAGTACATATATTTCACCTCACCTACTATACAGCGGGAGGCTGGGATGAATCTTGTAGTGTGTGCCCTGGTCTTCTTTTTTTGTTCAGCGTTTTGGTTGCTACCATGTCAAAATTAATATGGAAAATATCAAAACCTAGAAAAAATTTTGGTAGTGCCAAAGCCATTTTTTTTGGCAACCTATGTGTTATTATTGGCATTTTTTTAGCAAACCAAAACTAACCAAAGAACTATTCAAATTGCCAAAAATTTGGTAGGGCACATAATTTTGGCATCAAAACCAAAATTCTTTCATGCTATTGCTTTGGTTGTCATACCAAAAATAAACCGAATAAAACCTTACTAATGTTATATTTTGCTACAATCAACGATGGCCTGAGGTCTATTTGGCACAGCTCAGCACTAGCTCCACCCCTCCTGGAGCTGGAGCTCAGTCAAACAGTTTCAGCTCCACCAAAACTAGGAGTGGAGCTTTCTCACAAAATGAACTAGAATTGTGGAGCTAGGTTTAGACAGCTCCACAACTCCACTACAGACCCAACTCCTGAAGCTAAATTTAGGAGTTGGAGCTGTACCAAACAGGCATATGTGAATGAGTGACCTTTACAGGATGTCCTGAGTGCTGAAGACAAAATGTAAAGGTAGATGAGCCTGCAGTATGCAATCACGCTATTCTGGTTTTGCAATGCTTGGACGTTGAAGCTGTTTTAGCTCTATGTACTATCTTTTATCAAACTGATGATACAAGAATCCTTCCGATGTACAAAATGCAAAGATCTCAAAACTTAGACATTGGTGTGACATGGTACATAGGCCTTGAAGAAGAAAGAAAGAATCACCCAATACTTGCGGGTTGAGGCATTCTACATCTGTACATGCCATGCTAGTGAACACTCAAGTTATACAGTATAGCTCTTATACAACGAGCAAAGATACACATGAAAGAATTTATACGAAAAAATAACCACCAGGGAACTGCTCTTTTGCAATCCCAAAGTGGTAAATGTGAAGAAGATCCATCCAAATCGTGTAACAGGTGAAGGAATCAACATACACCATTGTTAACCAGGGATCTACTTCAAAGGTATCATGCTGGTGGCCTGCTACCATCTTTAGCTACTATGAAGTATTGCTTAAAATCTGGCACAAAAACATTTCATCCTATCTCCATTTTGGAATTAATGTAGTGCCACCATGCCACCCTTACTATACTCAATTCATTATAATGCTGCATCAGATTTCATCTCACTCTAACCCTCTTTGTTCCCGAAAGTTCTGTTGCTCCAAAATCCCAGAAATGTAGAATGTAGTGAATCTCATGTCACTGTTAGTCTGTTATTAATGTATATTGCATTCTGTCATAAACCTTTCCCCGTTGGTCATATATTTCCTCCAGTAGCCCTTGTAATCATGTATGCCCAAATCAAGCCAAGGTTTCATGACACCATTGTAGTGTAGAGTAACAGACCTTTTTATATCGGTTTGACTAACTCCATAATCATGTCCAAGACCTGATTGGACCCATGAATCTTCCAAAGGATATATCAAATCTTGAAAGACAAGTAAGCTTATGGGAAGTACTTTAAGTGGAAATGATGTCACACTGTCCTTTTGCAACTACAAAGACAAAGGCAGTGCATGAGAATACTGCTCTTATTGGGACACAATTAATAAATGAAATTGTGGAAGGATAACCAGGGCTACTAGAAAGGAATTCAGATATTTTCTATGATAAAAGTTACAATCGAATGTAAGATCTTAGGGATAGGAGTACTAACCTTTTGAAGCAATTGATCATACCGACTGGTAATGTGGAGATCCCTCCATTTTTTCAGTTCAACAACATTCAGACCAGATAACCACACACATGAATTGGTGCCAAAATTACGTTCCTCGGTGTAAGCCTTCAATTGTCCTAATTTAACTTCACAGAACTGAATAGCTCCCACCACTTTACCTCCCATATTGAGGTTCCACAGAGATGACAAGTCTTTCTGGACAATCAAATCATCATCTAGAACTACAACTCTATTCAAGCTAGGAAGAAGGTCAGGCAGGAGGAAATGTGAATGGCCAAAAGTAGAAATGTACTCAGTTTTCATTTGCTTCTGGAAAGATTGATAATGATTACGGAACGTGACACGGAATTCCTCAGCAGGTCGTAACAGTTTCATATCATGAAAATCAACATCCTTAGAGAGCTTCTGGTGATCCTCAATGTCAGTTACATGTACAGTTGCTTCCAAATACATATTTCTGTCAAACCAATGCTTCATCGCATAAAAATTTTGTGAATCGGTGAACAAATGGAAAACAATGCTACCAGAATCCTGAAATGTGTCAAGAGGACACAAGTTAGAACTGAGAAGGATTACTCATTGGTCATAAGTTTTTCAATCAGTTGGAAATACCTTGGAGTTCATAACCGTTGAATTAATTGTAGTCGAAACTGCAAGCACATTCTTGGAGAATATCACATAGTGATGGAAGGTGGGGTCTTCAAGTTTCTGCTTGTTTGACTGGACCGTATGAATAGACGTTGATTTGAAATATTCTACTGTCAATCTCATGTTCAAGCAATGGTGAGTTTTTGGCATAGTTTGTACCCCAAGATGATAGAGAAATGCACTCTGCCTTGTATGGAAATAAGCTTCATCTTCAGTTATATCAAGTAGCTGCCTAAGTTTCCGTTCAACACTTGTGCAGCCGACTTCACAAGACTTGGCTCTTTCAATTGTGCGCTCCATTTTCTCTAGCTTCTTTGCAAAACTGAAAAGGTATAAAAAGAATGTAAATAAGGTCAAATATTATAACAAAAGAAGCAGTCCTGACATTGCTATTTCTCATATAATTTGTTATGAAGTTTAATTGTACAAGTTTTTTTTTTTTACAAACAAAGCAGAAGATATAGATTTGATTACTAAGATCGGACTCACAATGGTGGAAGATCAGCATCTGCAATGGTGTCACTGAGCATGCGTTCATGCTCTTGGATGTTTTGTTTCAGTTCACGTGTAAATGTTTCCTGGTTCTTCAGCTTTGCAATACTAGGATAGTGAGCTCTTGCCATGAAAAGTTGATCCTTAAGCCTCTTCACAATAAAATCTTTCATCACTTCCTTATACTCAACAGACCAGAGGCAGTAGCTACCATATTCAAGTTCACAGGATCTGGGGTTCTCATGCTCGACTTCTTGGTCTTGGTTCTCTTTCTTATCAATAGTAGTATCCTGTCACAGAACAGATTCAGAGCCTTGTGGCAGAAAAAGGAAAGGGCATCCATCGTACACAAACACCTATCAGGTTATTGTGCTACTATTGTCTTCAAATTCATTTATACCAAGGGAAAAAAATCTGAAATTTGAAAAAGCCTTTTCTAATGTATCATTATGTCCATAATGCAGTTGTGATTTGCCAAAGCATTAACAAACAGAAGCACCAAACATGTGTGTACAAGATTTGCAGAGTAATACAAAATTATTCAGTGGTTCTGAGCCATAGAATAAACTTGTAACAGCGAAAAAAATGGGCAACCAACTAAGTTTCAGAGGAAAATTCAGTTCTATACTGTGCTGCAAACTATGTCAAGTATGTGCATTCTTAACTGATTGAAAGTACTGGCAACAGTGAGACATCTAAGAAGCAATTTTTAAGGTGTGAAATATGGCCAAAAGGACAAGTCAACTGTATAGTACAAAATTATTGCACTTTTAATCAACACAAATGTATACATTATTACTGAAGCCACACTGGAAATAAAAAAAAATGTTCCTACTCAAATATTTTACATTCACTATCTGTCTTCCTGAAGATCCCATTGACTGTAAAATCCCATTACTAATCAACTTATCATAGCAAGAAGTACAAACATTATAACTAACTGTGCTCACAGACAAGAATAATCCGTTGGTTACTCCAAACCAATGAAATGCACATATATTAAAATCCTAAGATTGCAAATAAGCATAGAAACTATTTCTTACCTTTGATCTCCAGGATAAGTCCTTTAACTGGTATCTTCTTTGTGTATGAAGTTCTGAAATAACATTGGATACTATAAAATGGATGCTGGTGGTATCTTACAGTTCTTGTTTTACAAAGTAAATGCAGTAACACTCTGCAAAATCTGATCTGACATTTCTTACCTTTGTTTTTTCTGGTCTCATTTTTTAGCTGAACTAAAGAGAAAACACCCTTGAGCTTTTCTTTTGATTTGGTAGAAACACTCTTGGACTTTGATCTACTACCAGATTTCTCATCCAAAATCCCATCAGATCCAGGAATTTTCTTTCTAGAAACATCCTGGTTTCACGAAAAGGAGATTAGCCAAAATAATAGGAATCATTTGAGAGGTCAGTGGAGCAAGCTCTTAAAGATTATTGTAACCAAGCAAATATCAAAATGGCATGGGTGATTCATTTCAATAGCAGTGCACATTCAAAATAAGTTTAGGCAGCAGTGTAAACCATATCGCATACGAGCTGATTCATCTACTTGATATTAATTTGTAACACAATACATTTAGTACAAAACTACTAATGCATATGTTACACCCCTAACATGGCGTACCCAAGCCTCCCTCAGTGCCACTCCCAAAGCCCAGTTGCACGATACCAGGCACGAATAACAAATATACTATAGCTGTAGAGGCATACTGTGATAGTATTCGACCTAAGCCCCATTTGGGAGTCTGCTGCAGTGCTGTAGAGCAGTTTTTAGTTACATGAGTCACGGGACATATACATTTACACGCAAGTACCGCAGGGTAAATTAGTAGATATATTTTTCACAACAACATGTTAATTGAAAATTAGGTGTGACAACAGCAGTTAGGAGGAAAGCAAAGCAATAATGTAAGGCCGAAAAGAAAAACACAAGAGAAATATGACCAGTTGAAATGGAAAGATGTGCAGTTCAGCAGAAATGTTGCTCACAGCAGCAACAGTCCAAGTCCATTTGTCAGTGACATTGGCAAAGAACAATTTTGGGGTGGCAATACGAGAATAGCAACAAAGCCCTGGCTTACAGTGTAGAGTGAGTACCCCTGCTAAGCAAGGCAGAACGCAGTAAAGCGTCAGCAAGCACACTGCACACACACGCAGAGTGCATGAACCGATGCCGTCTTGTTTTTTCTTATACTACAGAAACCTACCCATAAAACCCGCCTGGAAATTTGGGAATTTATATTCAGAAGGTCAGTTCTTACTCCAGAGTCACACAAATCTTCCAATTGGCAGGACAGAATGTCAAATTGGAAAAATTCTTCAGTAAAGCTGGGCGCGAGCCTTCCCTCAAAAAAAAAAAAAAATCCAGATGACTAAGAATTATGAGTCAGCCAATGGGCAGAATCAGCAAGCAGCATTACCTTGAGTAGCTTGTGCTTCATTCTCCCATCCAGATGCTTGTGCTTGCTAAACCCTAATTCCTAATTTAAAATGACGCACAAATCAGAACACCGAATTAAAAAAGAAATAAGTAATTTCGAAATGCAGCATGTATCTAATTCAGAAGGAAGGGGAAAAATGTGTTGATGAAATCGTACAGTGCTGATGACAACCGCGGCGCGCTCCTCCGATCCATGCCCTGCTGACAGTTAAGAAAAAAAAGACAAGCAGGAGATGAGGTGAGCAGCATGTATATGTAGGTAAGGTACAGAACAGATCCGAGGCGAGGTACCGGGGCGGTGGAGACCGAGGAGGAAGACGAGGGGCAGGAGGATGGAGCAGACGACGAGCGCCGGGACGGCGGCGGCCAGGGCAGTGCAGCGGCGCTTGGGCGGCGTCGACGGCGGCAAGGAATGGTGGCCCTTCATAGTGAGAGAAGCCGAGCAACGCCTGCTTCCAGACTCGAGAGAGCAGTGAGCAGTGGCAGCTTGTCGTCGTCGGAGCGGACGGTGACCTCACTGGCCGTGGCCGCCGATTGCCGCTTGGTAATTAGTGGAAGGAATTAATTAATACTCCTAGTTAGTTCCACATTAAGCTAGGCAGGGGCAGGCAGAGAACAAGCGAGGAAGACGAAGAAGACGCTTGTCTTCCATCCTCGGGGAGTGTGGTGTGTTAATGAGCAAAGCGCGTTCTTGCGCTTGTACACTCACTCTGCTTTCTTTCTTGTGCTCTGCTTGCTTGGAGAGTGAAGAGGAGGAGCGGCGTATTGGTTGATTGGATTCCACAAAACTCTCTCTCTCTCTAGTTTATTTTCTTTTGCTTTTGTTTGTTTCTCCTCTTTTGCTTTGCTTTGGACGTTGTATGTCTCTCTCTCTCTCTCTCTAATGAAATCGAAATCTCATGTCCCCTCTCCTTCGCTGTCTCGCTGATCTTCATTGTTCCTTTTAAAGTGGTTTGTCTACCTGACCTAAGCTAAGCAAGCTATTAGAGCAAGTTCAATAATATAGTCCGCTACTTACTCCAAAATTTAAAACATCATATATAGTCAATCTAATAGCTCACTTATATAATATATAGCTATAGAAATATACTGCATTATTAAATACATAATTCATCTATCTTTTTTACATAGTTTATTAGAGCTCATGCTGTAACTGGCTACAAATTTATAAGCACATTTTTGTTCTCTCTCCTCTCATCTCTCCTCTACATAAGTACAAATCTGATGTGGTAGCTTGTATAGCCCGCTTATGTCACCTTATTGTACTTGCTCTTAGTAGTACACACCATTTGGAGCAGCACATCTTAAATACTCCTAAACCAACATACAGGGGCGGATCCAAAGTGGGTGCAGGGGGACTCAAGTCCTCCCTACACCCACAAGACCCATAGATATTCCCCGGAGCACCTCCTTCAATTTTTTCACCATGTTCCTATATGGCTGGAGGTTGAAGAAACTGTGTAATTGCCTACACCCACAAGACCCATAGATATTCCCCGGAGCACCTCCTTCAATTTTTTCACCATGTTCCTATATGGCTGGAGGTTGAAGAAACTGTGTAATTGAGTTCCCCTAAATTTTTTTTGTTCCTAGATCTGCCCCTACCAACATAGTACGTGGATCGGTTATAAGCTAAAAGTTGTTTAACTCTATCTACCAACATATAGAGATTAAGGGCTTGTTTAGTTGGTGAAAAATTTTGGATTCGTTGTCACATCGGATATACGGGCATATATTTGAAGTATTACACGTAGTCTAATAACAAAACAAATTACAAATTCTGCTAGAAAATAAATTAAGACTAATTTAATACTTCATGCATGTGTCCAAATATTCGATGTGATAGGTAAAAAGTTTTTGTTTTAGGAACTAAACAAGGCCTAAGAGCAAGGTACAATAGCATACTATTAGTCAGCTATAAATATATTTTAATGAGATAAAAGATGAGAGAGAAGCAGCGGGCTACAGATTTATAGCCAGCTGCAGCACAAACTCCAAGACGCGATGTGTGTATGACATGTGAGACCACATATTAATTATAAAGTAAGTAACTATTGTATGAATTGGTTATTAGATTGGCTATAAAGAAATTGGAGCTAGTAGTGGGTTGTACTCTAAGGCCCCCTTTGATTCAAAGGAAATTTATAGGAATTTTAAAGGATTTCATTCCTATATGAATTTTTCCTATATCGCCCTTTGAATAAAAGGAATGGATCCTATGAAATCCTATAAAATTTCTATGGAATGCCTCTTCCCATATAAGTTTTAGAGGAAATTTAACATAAGGTAGAACCTCTTGATAACTCTTTTTTGAGTCTATCTCTCTCATCCAATTCCTGTATTTTTTCTGCGGTTAAATCAAACGGTCATTTCTGTGTTTTTCCTGCGTTTTGCAATCATCTGTTTTACACTTACATTTCTATCAAAATTCTACGTTTTTTTTATTCCTATATTTTCTCAATCCTACAATTTAAAAGGCCTAACAGTTCGACCAGCAGCTGGGAAAATGGAGTACTACTAGGACTCGTCTCGTGAAGTGAAACTGCAGGCGCCCAAATGACTATAGTCCCCACCGTACGAACGTAGGCCCTCCTCCATGACTCCATCCATGTGCCCGTTGCCCATCCATCAACCCAACCCAACCCAACCCAAGGATTTATCAGTTTTCCTACTACTACTACTCCTGTCCTGGAGTATAATAGGTACTAGTACTCTTCACTCACCCTAGTGTAGTAGTATATCACTGCAATTTCAATCTCGGTCATTTTTACTCGCTGCCATGCGTTGCACGCCCACAGCATCAACACGCTGATGGCCTGATGCTGATATGCATGCACATGCTGTCTTGTCAGCGACCAAAAAACTTTGGGCTTGAGCACGCACATCGCAAAACTCTACTACTATTCCAGATAGATTCGTCAGCAATCAAGTAAACTAAACTAAATTAACCCAACCCCTGGTTGCTTTGCTTCGCTTGGTTCAAGGTTAATTTGAGTCAGCTCTCAGTCAGTCGGTCGGTAGCAGCCAGTATGGCCTTGCGCAAATCGAGCAACCTGTTGCCATTAACCTACTACACCAATTGTCAATCAAACCACTTGCGTGATTCGTGCCAAGATTTCATCACCATTTTAAATAGCAAAGGCGTTTTTCTATCGCATGCTACAGTTATAGATAATCCAACAAATATACTGTCCGTAGATCTGCGCTACACATGCACACGTGTTCACGTACATGTAAAATACTTCAATACTCCCCTCTGGCTGGGTTGGCGTGGGCTGTGTTGGATTACTCAGACGATCACAAATGTATATAATCAGCATGTAAATTCAAACAAAATACAACTCCAACCTCAAAAAACAATCTACATATGCTCTCTCAGCTCTTCACTAAAGACTAAAGACTAAGTACTCCCTCCGTGAACTCATGAATGACATACTCTTTCCGTCCTAGAATATATTATATTATTACGAATCTAGAAACTCGTACTCCTTCCATCCCATAATGTTACAACCTAGTCCCATCCTAGGACATGTCCAGATTCGTAGTCCTAGGATGGGTCTCATCCCATCCTAGGTTGCAACATTATGGGACAGAGGGAGTATGTCACAACCTAAAAATCCCAAATATATAAATTGTTGTCTAAATTGGAATTATTAGAATTTATTTCAAAAGCCTAGAAGAGAAGATCTAATTTTAAATAATAAATTCCAATATAAAATGGGGCCAGATAAAATTCCATTAAATACTTTGCTTGATTCTATAGTTCCTAGAGTTTTCTGGGATTTATTTGAGCCAAGGAAGTATTTTTAATAAATGGAATTGCATTTCATGAATAATTTAAATTGGAAAAGGTTTTAAAAGTTCTCTTTTGGCTTTGGGCCGAAAGTCGGCCCAAAACCTCTCTCTCTCTCCCTCGGCCCAGTCGGCCCAGTCAGCCCGCAGCCGCCCGCGCGAGCGCCCTCGGCCGCTGACAGGTGGGTCCCACCTGTCGGACTCGTCGTCCACCTCCAGCCGCCGCGCTGAAACCCTAGCCGCGCCGCACCGCCGCCATCTCTTCCAAATTCGGCCGCGTCTTTCCTTCTCCGGTGAAATCAATTGAGGGGAAATGTTTCCCGAGATCTTCTCTACCTTTTTCCTTTTGGAATCGATCGCCAATTCGGTTGGAAATCCGTGGATTCGAGTTCGATTCGGATCGATCTCTCTCCTCCGAACCCTAAACTTTCCTTCGCGTCGCCGGTCGCCGTGGGCCTTCGCCGCCGCCTCCTTGCCCCTATAAAAGGACCCCCGGTGTCTCCGCTACCCGCCGCCACCCTCGCCTTCGCCTCTCGTCGCCTGTAGAGCCCTAGCGCCGTGCCGCTTAGCGCCACCGTCGCCGCCGTTCGTCCAGCCGTGCGCCGCCGTCGCTCTGGTCGTCGTCGCCGCTCGGGAAGGCCACCGTCGGGTTCGCCAAGTCGTCGCCGTCCTCGTCCCGTCCTCCTTTTTTGCCGTAGGTCGCCGGAGCACCGCCGTCCGTTGATCTTCCGCCGTTGTTTTGGTCACCGGTGAGTTCGCCGTGTCGCCCTCTACGTGTTGGTGTCCTCTGTTCGCGCCGTCGCGCCGTCGTTCGCCGGCGAGCTTGCACGCCCGAGCCGCCGCCGGTGGTGACGTCATCGCCGACGTCATCGTTGCCGTCTGTCATAGACCGGTCGTAGACCGTTAGATCTTAGCCGTCCATTGTGGATTGGATGGATCTCGGCCGTTCGTTTCCGTGAGCCGCCGCCGTGCACCCGGTCCACCGCGAACCTTAGCCGCTGACGCAATAATTCCCTTTTCCTTTTCAAAAATAATTCATTATTGCGTCATAATTCCATTAAAACCCATATAAGTGTTTTAATCCGATTTAATCTTTAAAAATTCATAACTAATTCATCTTAGCTCGGATTTAGTTGGTTCAAGTCTCTAAATTTTTCTAAAATTGAGATCTACATGTTAAAAATATCCACATGTACTGTTCATGCTTTTTTGTGTGCTGTTTTGGTGATTTTGCTCCTTTCTGTTTAGATTCCGACGTTTCCGGAGAGTCCGTTTTTACAGGAGAAGAATTTGAAGAGTTCCAAGGCCAGCAAGGCAAGTCACACAGATCCCAAACAACCCTTTGAGCATGTTGATCCCGTTTAAAGCTATTGTTTCTATTCAACTATTGCATTTATTTTCGAATGTCATTGGGTGTAATTAACCTATTGTTTGTTATAGCCCTTTTTGTTCTTGATTACTTTATTCCTTGATACCTTGGGTTATTATAACTTGACTAGTTGGGCTTTATATATTGGTTCAGCTAGATATTAGATAGGATTGCTTAGCCATACTTAGAAACATTAGCACACTATTGGGATAACTTATGACTCACTATTATTTATTATTTAATGATGGCTTAATGATAGCTCATGATGGTTAATCATGATTGGTTAATTAATTAATTTGCCAACTAAAACCTGATAATGGTGGGTTGTGAGCACATGATTTTGATGGTCGTGCTCATGACAATTAAGGACCAGTTCACGAGTTTCGGTTGTGAAACATTACCGTGCCAACCACAAGCCAGCGTGGGCAACGGCTTTACCTTTTGTATAGTATGGTTCATTGCGGGGCACCAGACTGAGAAGTGGCGGAGATAAGCCCACGGGGGTCGCTGGGGAGTCCATGCCTTGTTTATAAGGGGGTGATTATGATCCAGGAACGGTGCACTGTGGTGAGCTGTGTTGTGCGAGGGGTATTGTCACAGTTCCTTTCCAAGGTACCGTGGTGGTATTGAGGCGCATGGTGACATGTTGTGGAGCTGTGTCTTGTGGGTACAGTGGTACACCTCTGGCCAGAGTAAAACTATTCGAATAGCCGTGCCCGCGGTTATGGGTGGGTCTAACAATGTCTTTCGTGATTA